CTTTCAATAGAATGAATAAATTGTGATGTAATCATAAACGGATATTATACAGCAGTGAAAAGTGAATGACCTTCAGATACACATAATAACATGGGTAACTCACAGTTTTGAGCAAATGATTCTATTCATGTAATTTTAAACAACAGGTGAAGTTAATTATACTGTATAGGTACATAGGTGGTAAAACTTTAAGAAAAACAAGAAAATAATTGAACACTTACTGGTAAACAACAGAGAAAAGGGAAAAGTTACAATGAGAAGGATTCAGTAAGTGCTTCTGGGGCAAAAGTAATGTCCTGTTTCTTCACCTGGGTCATGAAGCTGTTCGTATATGTTCTGTGCACATTTCTTACGTGTGTTCTATTTCCATGGTTAGAAGTAATAATAATATAAAAGGAAAGACAAATAGGGAAAGAGATGGTGGGAGGTGGAGGGTGGGTCCCACCTCTACCCTTGCAGGGTTCTGGGAGGGGCGCACGTCCCCACTCCCGTGTGGACCTCACGCCCTCCTGCCGCCCCCACCCCCAACGTGGGTCTTACTCACGCATCTCCCAGGAAGAGGTTGGGCCAGACCTCGTTGATGTGGTTCAGCATGGGGGCCCGACGGACCAACAGCAAGCGCTGCAGCGAAGCCAACGTAGGCGGCTGGTAGGGGGACATCCGGACTGCCCCATGGATCTTGGGCCTCCGGAGGTCCTGCTTCTGCAGCGAATCCATCCTGGAACAGAGGGGACACGGCAGTCGCTGGAGGTAGGCTCCCCAAGGGTGGATCTAGCTGATGGGGAGGCCCATGGTGCAGTGCCCAGGTGCCACCAGGATGCTGCGGGAAGGGCCTCAGCTATTTCAGATGAGGTTGTTAACCAGTTCAGCTGAGGCTGAGGCCTAGAACCCTTCCCCAGGGAACAAGGGAATCAATCCCTTGTCGCCACTGTGGAGCTGGGCGGACCTCTCTCCTGCCCTCTCCTGAGGTTGCAGGTGTAGGAAGCTTTGGCCAAGGGGCGCTTGGAGTCCCTGGCTTGTGGCACCTAGTCAGTGCAGATCTCCTCCCTTAAGGCACTGGTCAGTAGGAACTTTGTAGGGATGGAAACCTCAGATGACTCTGGCTCTCGGAGGACACCCAGGAAGGTGCCCCCAACCTAGGCAGCTCACCTCAAGCCCCTCCCCTGCTACTCCCAGGCTGGCCCTCGGCTGCCCCCACCACACACACTTTCAGGGGCTTGGAGATCGGCATCATCTCCAGGGTGAGAGGCAGGGGTTGTGCAGTGATATTTGTTAGCATTTCCACACTGAATGCGCCAATGCCTCTCACACTCCTTGCTTGTGGCACGTCCCTATGTCACTCAAGAGGAAGCTGAATTTTTTTCAGAATTTTTTTATGTAATGGGTGCCAAAGCCATATGGCTGATGAGTAGCCAGGCTGGGGTTTCAGTCTACTTCGGAGCTCCTTCAGCTCCATCTCCAGGCCTTTCAGTTACCACCTCTGGGGACTCCAGTGTGCGGTCACCAACCCATCTGTTTCCTCAGGGGCGCCTGGCGCTGCTGAGCTACGCCTCTGCCTACAGGCTCGGGTGTTCCTCTTACCCCCATGACGCAGGCCAGCAGTGCTGTACGTCAGTCCTTCCCTGGGCAGGGTGGGTTGTATCAGGCGTCAGCTGGCCAAGGGAGTTCGAGACCCTGCAGAGCTGGGGTGTCAGCGGCACCAGAACATGGGGCCGGTGCCGTGTTGGGAAGGAGGGCCTATCTTGGCCAACTGTCCCTGATCCCTTCAGCCAGTAACTAGGGAAGGTGCATACTGGGAAGAACATCTTCTCCCGTTGGTGGGTGGTGCCAGGACCAGAAAGGGAAATGGGTACCCAGGAGGCCCCCGGCTTGGCCAAGCTCACCCAGCGGGTGGCCGGTGGGCAGGGCGGAAGTGAAGGCACAGATCTCCCCCTCATCCCCCACTGGACCTCTCAGGGCAGGCGGAGTGGCCTGCCACCTACCTAGGGCATGGTCTGGGGCCGGGAAGGGGGGAGTGGGTGCAAGGGCAGGACTCAGCTTGGTGAGCAGAACGGGGCTTGGGGCAAGTTCCGCCCAGAACACCAACGCTGTGAAGCGGCTAGAATTCCAGGTCCCCTTGGAGCCCGTGGGGGTGGGGCCTGTGGACTGAAGTGGGGGTCCTGCCAACCTCCCAGCCCTCTGCTCTGCCTGGCATCTCTTTGAGACTGAAGGCTCTTGGCCCCATGACTGCCCCCTCAACCCAAAGACGGGAGGCTACCTTAGTGGTGGGAAGAGGGAAGAGGAGAGCCGGACTCCCCTGGGACTCTACCATGACTCATTCCGTGGCCTCGAGCAAGTCTTGGCTCCTGTCTGGACCACAGTGTCTCTTGCCCATGCTAAAGATCCTGGCGTGGCCTGACTTTCAGGATTCTCTCGGTGGGGCTGACCCGAGGAGGCGAGAGGAGTGTCTGGGTGTGCAGTGACTACAGAGCAGAGGGTGTAGTGTGGTGGGGAGGGGGCTGTCCCCAGGCCCCAGGGGAGTCCAACAGCTGCCCTGGTCTGGAGCCACCCGGTGGGGCTGCAGCAGCCCCAGGCTGGATCAGATAGGCTCTGGGAAGGCTGCTGGCGCCGGGCTCAGGCCTCTCGCGCTTGGCATGGGGTAAGGCCGCCCTCCGGTGGCCAGTGGGTGCCTCGCAGCCCAGCGGTGCCTGGGAGCAGGCAGCCTGGCTGCCCCTGTAGGTTCCAGAGGGGCCAGGGATTGGGCCACAGCTCATGTCTCAGCCTCCGAGGGGACCCTGGGCCCAAGGCTGGAGAAAGGGGCTTTTCCCTGGACTTAGGGCTACTCCTGGTCAGGTCCCACCTAAGGCTCACTCCTGATGGTCACGGCATACCTGCCACCTGTCTGCCCTTTCCCACTGGGGCCCAGCCCACCTTGTCAGCCAGAGTCAGGCCCAGCCGCCCACCCAGGGACTCGTCCTTCGAGCCCCAGGTACACCCAAGGAAGGGGAGTCAGGAGCTACAGCAGTTCCCCGGCTTTGTGCTGCCCCCAGACCTGGGCTGTGGACGGCCCGGTACTTCCTTCCGCATGTCTTGGGCCACAGCCGCGTGAAGCATGGGCCCAGCGACCAGCAGTGACAGGGCTCGCCCAGCTCCTCTGTCACTCGCTCTAGCCCTCGTTCTGCTCCCTGGGCTCCCCCTGCCGCCTTCCTGCTTCTCCCGCTCAGCCGAGCAGCTGCCTCTGTGGGCAGCGGTTTTCCTGCTCCTGCTGCTGCTGCTCACAGGGCCACACGCTTGTTTTCTGACTTCGTCTGTACCTCTCCTCCCTATGTTGCTCTCCCTGTTTGCCGCTGTCTCCCACCCACCCCAGGAAGCTCATGCTCCTTCCAGAACACCGCCCTGCATACCCGCAGCCTCACGCCAAGGCACACGCTTTCTTGGGGTAGGGGCAGCTGTTTGCCACCCGCCTCCTCGGCGGCAGCTCCGGGAAATGTTCCCCTGGTCTCCCCTCCCGCCCACCCTCTCTGCCGCCTCCTCCTCCTCCGCCTCCTCCTGTGGCCAGGCCGGAGTGTGGTCACAGGGTGGGTGGGGCTGGAGCTCCCAGGGCAGGACACCTGAGGAGTTGGGGAAGCCTCCAGGAGGTGGCAGGCGGCTGCCCCTGGGGGGCTGCTGAGGCCCCTGTGCTCAGCATGCAGGCCTTGGGGAGGGCAGACCTGGGCAGAATTCTCGGATCTGGGACTTGCATCTGTGTGGTCGTCTTTGAGCCGGTTTCCTCGGCGGGGCGGCTGTGAGCATTCCATGAAATAGTAAGTGTAAAGCGCCTCCCACAGGATCGGCCTCACAGTAGATGTGCAATAAATGGTGCATCTTACTATTATTATCTTTGCTATAATTACTCTTACCCTTTCAGGCCTCAGCCACATCCTCGGTAGAGGGCAAACTTTCCCATGGGGCGGTGAGGTTCGGTCTCTAGTTCTCTGTGTTTCTTGATGCTTCTTTCTCTGTCTAGCAATAATTACTGTGTTCGCCACTTATTAAGGATGTACTATGTACCAGACAGAGCAAGGTGCTTACATTTTCTCACTGAATCCTCACAGTGCAGGTAATATTATCATTCTCATTTTACAGAGGAGGAAACAGGCTCAGAGAGGTTAAGCAACATGCCCCAGGTCACACAGCCAATAGGTATGGGAGCCAGGATTCAAGCCCAGGTCTTTCTGACTTGACTATGCTTTGTCTATGCCTCTATCTCTGACTCAGTTGGTGTCCCACCCAAACTAATACCTATCCCTGCCCAACACTCACATGCTGGCCCTCATTACCCAGCATGCTCGGGGACCCCCCTGAATTTGGGGCATTCACCCACCTGTGGACGTGTCCGGCCCAGGCTGTGATCTTCCCTGACAGGCAGTTTGTGCTGCCGGCTTCCAGCTGCTTGTCTCCGTACACTTGATGCTGTTTCTATTTTTTGATTTGAGTTTAATTATAAAGCATGCTGTCTGCTCCCCGCTTCCGGCCTCCCCCTGCCACTCCCTACTTGTCCTCTGGTCGCAGGGCATGGTCAGTTCCTGCCCCTCCAGGCCCAGGCCCCAGGCCCAGCCCTGCTGGGAGTCGAGGCAGGCTGGCCCGGGTGTGCCTGTGGTATGTGTGTACGTGTATGTCAATAGTGGGGCAGGGAGAGGGGAAATCAAATAAACCATTTTAGAAGGTCCCTTGGCCCTCAAGGGTAATGTGGAACAAAGGCAGAAAGTTCAAGCTGGAAGGATCTTCTGTGGAGGAAGAGACTAGCCCAAATCACACACAAACTGGCGGTATTGACAATATCCGAACCGAGGTCCAGGAGCTCTTAGTTGGGGACTGAGGATGACAGAACTGGCCTAAGATTAAGCTCTGGGAGACTCAGGCTGAGGGACACAGTCCAGGCCCACACACGGAGGAAGGTGGGAGTGGGGTGCAGTGGAGCTCCTTAGACAGCCCGGTCTGCAGTCAGAAGCTGCGTGTCCAGGAGACACTCCCGCCCTCTGCCAGGCTCCTCCCTGCCCCCAAAGGCAGGAATGTCCAGAGGGTATCTCTGGTCCAGGCCCCACTATCCCATGAGGCCAGCGAGATGGTCTTTAATGTCCCTCCCAAGGCTGTGCTCAGTTAAGGACCTTGGAATTGGACCTATTAAGAACCTTCCCTGTCATCCAGAGACCCTCCTCATACACCCCTACTTGATACTACTCCCCACTCACACTCCCAGATGATGAACACACACACACACCTATAGCCACACCCACGCCGGGGCTCTGAAGTCTGCGCTCCAGGGGGCTAGGGCTCAGCCCCTGCTGCTGCTCCCCAAGCCCTGGGAGAGTCAGGGGAGGCTGTTGCAGCCAGGGGCTGTCATGAACACTTAGAGTCCCCTTCCTTTCCTCCCCCCAACCCCCAGAATTGGGGTCCCTAGCCCAAGAGCCTCAGGGCTTGGCTGAGAGGGCAGCCTACTCCCACCTGTGGGGACCGAAGACAGTGGCTGACAGGGGGTGCAGACAACAGAATGAAGCAGACGGAGTAGCGGGCTCTTGGGTGGACCCCACGCTGGGCTCTTGTCATCTTCTGGGCATCTGCCTGGGCCAGAGCCTCCAGCAGCACCAGCAGGGCCAGTAGTAGGGTGGCAGAGTGGCAGAGCCCCATGGCAGGGGGTAAAGATGGGCTCTGGGAGAGAGATGAGCTCTGTGTTATAGGCAGGTAAACTAAGGCCCAGACTGGGACTGGCTGGGCCTTACTGGGGCAGGGACAAGAGCTATCACCTAAACCTGCTTCTGCCTTGAGCCCTGTGTGTAAGGTCAAGTGGGTACAGGTGCTGAGAGAGATGAGGAGGTAGGTTTGGCATCCATGTCTTATGGACAGACATGACCTCTCCCCATAGCCCCCTCATCCTTCAGAGTCTGCAGCCCCAGAGCTGCCATGTATGGCCTCCCGGGCTGCACACTGCACAACTCCAGTTGCATAGACAATCTGTTAGAGGACACCCCCATGAATTGTGCAATGCTGCAGCCCTGCCCAACCAACTCCCCCAAAGTCAGCTGCCTGGTGAGAAAGATGCTGAGGCCAGATGTCAGGGTGCCTAAGGTCCCAGGCTGAGGAAGTGGGGTGATTGAGCATGATCAGAGATCTGCTGCTCTGCCAAGTTCCTGGATCCTGTCTAGAGGAGAGAGCGCAGGCAGGGAACATGCCATTCCATGGGAAACATGTCCCCCTTCCAGACCCCAGACCCACAGAGCTCTATGCAACAGTTTCCCACCCAGCTTGGCCCCTGGCCTAATCCAACCCCAGCTATAACCCTAAGTTCCTCCCATCACACCCCCAAACTCTAAACCTAGGCCCCATCCTTCCCTAATCCTCCTCCCAAGATGCTCATCCTCCAGCCAGCATGTGGGAAGGGGTTGATGTTGCCAAAGTGCCTCCCTTCTGGTTGGGCTGGCTATGCCTTCGGAGACACAAACAGCTCTGTGGGTGGGAGACGGGGAGAGAGGCCCTGCCCTCGGGGCTTGTGGAGCAGGAGGAGAAAGCTGCCAATCTGGCAGCTTCAGGGGAGCCTTGGCTGGTCGCTTACCCCACGCCAGTGGGTGGTGGGGCACAGGCAAAGACAGGGCTGAAGAGAGAGAGAGGGGAGAAGCAGTATGGGAAGCAGGAGCTGCGGGCAGGCCCTGGGGAGTGGGGAGCAGCCCTGGAGGCCTGGCTCCCAGCTGATGGCCCCCAGAAACACAGGAATGTGGGGGAGGCAGGCTTCGGGGACCAGACACAGACAGACCCAGCCTGGGCGTGGGGGAAGAAGGGTGGTGGGCACTCTGCAGCTCCCCGACAGTCCTGACGCACCCACAGCCACCCCGCTCTCGGAAGAGACACCCCCGCCTCCTCCCAACTGTGCTGGAGGAAATTTCACAGAGGGCTGACGCGCAAGATTTGGAGCAGTATCTTGGTGACCATTTGTGGGCTGGGAGCCTGAGAGCAGTGCTGCTGCCGGGGGAGCCCAGCTCCATCCACTGGGCAGTTGGGGACCCTGGAGCCCCCAGGAGGAGGGAGGCGGCTTGGGGAGAGGAGGTATTGGGGATCCGTTCCCCTTGCGCAAGGTGAGGACTGCCTGCTGTTGCTCCAGCTGCCCTGAGCACAGAATAAGGGGGCGGGGGCCGACGGCAGCAGGAAGGAGTCTAGATGGACTTCAGGAAGAGCTTCATGTCCTAAAGGAGTCCCCAGATGGAGGGAAGGAGGGAGGGTCCTTCTGTAGATCTCTGAGACCAGAGGGGTGATGGGGTGGGAGTGGAGTGCTGGCCCCGAGGCCAGGAACTGAACGGCACCACCCAGGGGCTCCCTGGTAGCTGGGGTGAGGAAGGCACGGCTGGGGGCAGGCGCACGTTTGGGAACCTGTTCTTCCCGTGGTGGGGATGGTGAGGTGGGGCTGGGGTAAGAATCAGCCAAGCCTGGAACATTTTCTCTGTGGAGCTGCAGCTGGGGTCCAGACCTGTGGGGAAGGTGATGTGGCAGTGTGGATGGTCCAGGCTGGCTGCATGGCTGCCTCGGTGGGACTCGGGAGGCCCCCACAGGCTTTCGGCTGAGGCAGGGCAGGTGGGCCCCGGGACCAGGAAGGAAGGCCTCACTTCTCCCATATTATGCCTTCCACTCCCTCCCTTCCTGGGGGCTCCGAAGAATTGGGGGAGGCTGGGGAGATGGGGGCGGGGTCCTACAGGAGGATTGCCTAGGCCGGGCCCTGGTGAGACATTGGGTGGGTAAGGGGAGCCCAGCAGCTTGGAAGCGGGCCTGGCCCACTCCCACCCTCACTTCCAGCCATACACAGCCCGGCCAACCAAGCCCTGAACAGCCCCATCCCATGTCCCCAGCCCAGCCCCCCCTGGCCTCCCCCTCTATGCTCCCTGCCCAGGCCCTCACCTGACATCTCACTGCCAATCACCCCCAGCTTCGCCCCCTTGTGCCCTCATGTCCTGCCCAGCCCTCACCTGGCCCCTCAGCTCCGGCCTGCGCCCCGCAGTTGCTGGTCCAGCTGGCAGAGCTGGCGGAGGAAGCCTCGGTTGGGGAAGACCCATCGGTGCTGCCTCACGGTGATCACCGCCTGCCGCAGGGACAGCTGATGGCGCAGCATGAGGTAGGCCAGCACCAGTGTGGCGGAGCGGCTCACGCCCACCACACAATGCACCAGGACCTTGGCTGAGGAAGACATCCTTGTGAAGAACCCTTTCAGACCCGCCAGCCCACCCAGGGGCTGGGGTGGGGACCCAAGTTCCTGGCCCTGCCTTGGTCTCACTCTGTGACCCTGGGCAAGTCGTTCAGCCTTTGTGGGCCTCAGTTTCCTGATCTGTGAAAATGGGCAGACCAACACCTGTTCTGCCTACCCTCGGGATGGAGTTCACATTCCTTAACATGGCTTACAAGACCCTTCAAGAGCTGGCCCTTGCTGACCCTGTAGCTTCACCTCAGACCGTCCCTCCCCAACCCTCAGCTCTAGGAACACGGGGTAACTTGCAGTCCCTTGAAGGTGTCATAGTCTCTGACCTCCAGCCTTGCCACATGCTATTCCAACTACCTGCAACACGTTTCCCCCGGGATCGGGCTGACTAACTTCTGCTACTCATCAGGTTTCGGCTGAGACATGGCTTCTTGCATGGGTTTTCCTGACCACTCAAGGTATTGCTTGAATCACAGAGCGGCTCATCATTTTGCATATGACCCAGTGAACACTGTTGCAGAGGGAAGTCCTCCCCCACCCCGATCCTCTGGCTTGAGCACCCCTGCCTTGTGCTCCCATAGCTCTTCACGCCCGCCCACTCCTATGAGCAACCCTCGTGATACTTCACAATTCAACTGTCCTTCCACCACTTCCAAGAGGGCAGAGATCCTGCCTTCTTTAAGTCAGTGCTTGGCACATAGCAGATCCTCAGTAAATAGCTGGTGAAATAATGGATGAAGAACAAAAGAATATCAAAGTGCTTTAGACACTGAAAAGTCATGTCGGCTGTAGTCTTGTCATTCCCATTGCATAGATGAGGAAACTAAAGTCTAGAGAGGGACACTGGCTTGCCCAGGGTCACACAGCAAAGGGCACAGCTTTCTCCCAGGATAAACACAAAGCAGGGGCTCCTTTGCTGTACTCTGAGTATCTGAAGATTTTTTTTTTCCAGTTGAAAGTACTTTGGGCCAGACATCTAGGTACCAAATGGTGGCTTCCCAAGGCTGAGTGTTGCAGATAAAGAACTGTGTTGCTGTTTGGGAGACCTGGCTTCTAGCGCCAGGGTTGCCCCAACCTCCTGGCATGACCTTGCATTCCAGGCCTCAGTTTGGGCTTAGATAAAATGCTGGAACATTGAGCAGAGGATTTTTAAAAAACCAGGGATGGGAGGGGAAATTGGGCATCCTCCCCACGAATGAGCAGAGTGGGATACAAGCTGAGACCCCAAGTCCTACCCCCAGGTGTGCTGAGGGCACAGTGGATGAAGTCGGCTGCGGAGGAGAAGTAGGCACTGATGTCGAAATCAGGGAGGTCGTGGGCTGGCACTCCCAGGTAGCTCACGCTGCTGCCATAGAAGTCAGGGCCGCCCTGACAGTAGAGGCCCCCGTGGGCAGCGTTCAGCACGTGGGTGATGCCCAGCTTCCAAAGCTCAAAGCGGTTATTTGCCGTGGCCCTGGGGAGAGCAGGAAGTGGGCTAGATGCTGGCTGAGGCATGAGGTCCGGGAAGGAGGCTTTGCCTGCTTCAGAGGCACTGAGCCTTTGGGGTCCAAAGGGAGCCAGAATCCAGCAAGTTCCAGCTGGGGTCTGCAGCCCCCAGCCCGCCCCCAGAGCTTTCTGGTGGGGGAACTGGTGTTGCAGGGGTCTACCTTTGCTTCCTCAGGCGATCTGCCCCTGCCTTGGCCAGGACAGGAAGGAAGGGATTGCTTCAACCCTCGGAAGCAATCCTTTCAGGCTGCCCCTCCCTTCTTGCCCTATGTCCTCCCACGCACATCCGGACTGTCCTGGCCACCACCTCATACCTGCTTCTAATCTGCAAATGTGTAAAGGTGACACCTTCCCTGATTCACCTTCAGTCAGGCTTTTCCACCCACTTTGTGTCCAGAGGAGGGAGACTGAGACCAGAAAGGGGCTCTCTGTCTACCCTACCTCCTGCCTCAAATACTATTCCCCAGGCCTCTGTCCCTTACGGTCGTCAGTTGTCCTGGATGTGCCAAAAGATTCCAGGAACCTCTGGGAAGCTCCCGTCTTTCAGGCAGGCAAAAATCCCTGCTCCCCCTGGTGGCCACGCCTGGTCACTGCACCGACCCCGCCACCCTGGGGTCCTGGAGAAAGTCCCTGGCCTGGGGTGCTCAGGGCAGGATTATGTCTCCTTGTTCCCACCCACTCCCGTGTCTGGTAAAGAGTAAAGAGCTCGGGAACTCCTTGCCCCCACCCCCACACCCCTCTGCCCCCACTCACGCATCTCCTATGAAGAGGTTGGGCCAGACTTCATCCACGCGGCTAGAGGAGGCCTTCCCCTCCCTGAGGAGCTCCTCCAGCTCCGGGATGCTGGGGCAGGGCGTGGCTTCGGCATCTCCCCCAAGCTCTGGGAGCGAGGCCTCAGCCATGGGCCAGCCCGCCCACCCCTCTGCCTCTGCGGTCACTCCTCTCTGTTTCTCCAGTGTCATTTCTTCTTCCCAGAGATTGACAGGGACAGGTGGGACAGGAGCAAGTGACTCAGCAAATCACATGGGCCTCCAGAAAGGATAGGATGTTTTCCTCCCCAAGCCATCCCCACCCCCAAACTCCCTGAGAACTTGGAATCTCTCTCGACTCAGTTTCTTCATTGGTAAAGTAAGGACAATCACACCTAACTCAGAGAATTGTTGTGAGAATTAAATGAAACAAAGATGTGCTGTGTCTAGCACATAGTAGGTGTTTAGGAACATTTATTGAAAAAAAATTTTTTTTTTTGAGACTGGGTCTCACTCTCCTGCCTAGGCTGGAGTGGAGGGGTGAAATCATAGCTCACTGCAACCTCAAACTCCTGGCCTCAAGCAGTCCTCTGCCTTGGCCTCCCCAAGGGCTAGGATTATAGGTATGAGCCACAGTGCCTGGCCAATTGGTTGAATTAATAGGTTTAGAGCCCAACATAAGGCTATTTGGTTCTGAAGACTGAGTTAAAGTAGAGATTCAGGGTGGAGAAGAGGTACCTGGCTCCACGGATGAATTACAGAAAAAATTTTATAGGTCTGGGTGGGCCACAAACTGGGTAGGAGCCAGATGTCTATGGATGAGTCTCTGGACCATGGAGGTCAGGGAAATGTGGAGAGGAGACACGGAGGACCTCACTTAAAGGGTGCCCACAAGGTTCATGGGGGAAGCTTTGAACAATGGTCCTGAAATGAAGATGGCTGACTTCTCAGAAGACTGAAGGAGGGCTTGTATGTCAAAGGGGGAAAAGGGAGGTGAGCGTTGCCCTACACTTTGAGAGCCAAAGGGCCTAAGTGTCATCCGAAACATTTTGAGGGCGGGAGGGAGATTTCTCTGCCTACAAGGGCTTTTGGCCCCAGAATAGAAACTGAGAAAGGTCAACCTGTCCTTCTGCCAGAGCTGGTCATCAGCAAAAGAGATGAAATGTCTTGCCTTCTCTCAAGTGACTTCGCAGAGGTCCTGATAGGTCTGGGAAGGGTATGAGCTGCAGTGGGAAGGTTCCCAGCTGCCCTTGGCTTTGAGTCCAGCTTGAGGGGAAAGGCCATACCTGGGCATCCTATGAAACAGTCTGCACTCACGTCCACCCCAGAACCTGCTCCCACCCCATTTGGAACCACTGAAGTTGGCCCTGCATTGTATGGGGAAGCAAGGCCAAGGAGAGGCTAGAGCCCAGGTTGCGGCTGCCTTTGGACTTGGTTTATGCCAATGCTAGGCCTGGGTTGGAGGGGGCCCTCCCCCAGGGCGGGGCAGCATAATGCAGTGAGAAGAACATAGGTTCTGATGTTAGACAACTTTGGGTTGGAATACCAGCTTGGGTGCATATTAAAGTGATATGTCATGCGATATGTTTCTTGGTCTGTGTTGTATGATCTACCTTGTAGAGTTTGCACAAGGATTAGATGAGATATTTATGTGGCATTTGGCATAGACACTGTCACAAAGCAATGGGGCAGTGAATGATAACGATCATTGGGGGTTGGCTTTTGGAGGAGAGCTGTCCCCCTCAGGAGCAATTAGGATAACCCCCTCCAAGGCCCAACCCTATTTACTAATCCTATAGGCCCCGCCCCATCTCCCCTCTCTCGGTTCCTTTCTCCCATCCTAGTCTCCAGCCCGACGCATGCGCTCTCGGGGTCCCCTGCTGCTGTTTCCTTTCTCGGTTCTCCTCTCGCGCCCATCTGGAGCCGCGCGTCTCTTCCGGTTTTGGCCCCGCCCCTCCGTCGGTGGAGCTCCTCCTCCCGCCGGTAGGGCCCCGCCTCCTAAAGCAGTTCCGGTTCGGCCGGGAGCCGCTGCCGGCGCGGCGGTGACGGGGGCTGGGGCGATGCCTGCGCGCAGCCGCCACCGCCCCCGCCCCGATCCCGGCTCCCCGCCCCGGGCTCCGCCCCCGCCGCTCGAGGCGCTTCACTCCGGCGAGGCCCGGAGGACCCCGGACTCCGACGGCGGCTCGGACGCCGACTCGGAGGTGGGTCCCGGGAGCCCGACTCCGACCGCGGAGGTGAGGGGAGCTGAGGCTGAGGAGAGGGGAGTTTGGGGGGCGCCTGCAGCCAAGGGTGAGTGGGGAGTCTGGGATGGAGCTGGGGGCTGCCGAGGGACAGGGACCCGGAGGGCCACGGGGAGACGGTTGGGGGAGATGGAGAGTCGGCGCTAGAATGGAATCTGAAGGAAATGGAGGTTGTTGAGCCGAGGGCCTGAGAGGGTGCCGATGGCCAGTGGCTGAGGGTAAGTAGAGGCCGAGGGGCGAGAGGGAGTGGAAGACTTTAAGAGGCAAGAGCTTGGAGGCTTTTGAAAGCAGCGTAGGGTCGGAAGAAGGTCGACGGGGTCCTGCGGGAATGTGGCCCCGGAGGAAGAGATGCTCTGGGCTGTGGCAGTGGGGCTTAGGGGTCAGAGGAGCAGACCCGGGGCCGGTGTTACCCCAGGCGAGGGAGAGGGCACTGGGGTGGGGCTGGTGGTAATGGAGGGCAGGATTTAGGTTTGACTGGAAGAGGGAGGGCTATTGGATGGGAAGTCGTCTGGCCTCAAGTGTTGAGGGAGGCATCGAAAAAGAGAAATGTCGTCAAGAAAGAAAAGAAGCCCTTAGGGATCTAATTTAAGGCTTTGGCATCTTTACAGGTGCCTTTCAAAGCATCAGACATCACTAGGGCAATGTATTTGGATTGTGGGACTTATATTTGTGCACAGTGATGGATCCTTTTAAGAATCTGCGGTGTTAATTACTGATTTGCCTAAAGGACTGGGGGAAGTGGTGGAGAGGAAGTGATGTTTGAAAAATGTAGTGAAAGAGGTGATTTTGAACATAAAGATATCATTAGGGTTTCTTCTAACATTAATAGTGTACCTTTTTTTGTATTTCTTTCTTAAATGTTTAAATACTAGGCAAGTTTAGATCCTGAAAAAGATTTAATGCATTACCTTTACATTTAAAAAATTAACTTGAAACAAGAATTTGGACACTAGGATTTTACAGATACTCATTATGAACTGGTTCTATTTCACAGCTTGAGTTGAATATATTTGCCACAGGGTAAAAATATGGTCTATGCAAATGTCTGGGTTAAGGGGGACACATAACACTAGAAGTAAAATCACCACAGTTCAGGCACCTACCAGATCTTCCTCTCACTGGTAACTCCAAGGTTGGAATTATCTCTTAAAAATTTGAGGTGTACTGATGGATTTGCAGAACCAATGTGCAAATACTATTTTGCAGATATTATTCACATAATATTTTTAATAGAGTGGTCTAGAAAAGTAAGGATAGAGGGTGCTTGTAGTTGACAGCCAGTGGAACTGGAACAAGTGGGTACACAGATGCTTTTTATAGAAGATGTAGTACCAAAACATAATTGTGTCAGAAAAATAATGATTGCAATATTTATATTCACTTAGGTAGAAATAATTTTGTGATTATTAAATTATAACAAGCCTCCAAGAAGTCCTTGTTGACTTTAGCCACGTCTCATTTTACTTTTTATCTGATTATAGGCTTGTGACATTGTTGGCCATTTCCAAACTTTTAATCAAGTATTTTCTACTCTATATGGGTATCTACTGTTTAATCTTCATGAGATGATAATTTACTGATTGGCAACAAGCTTTTAAATTAGTTAATGAGTATAGGCGATATGACATACCTTCAAATGCTCTGTGAAGTAATAATTCCTTCTTCAAAGGAGAGGTGAATTTTTAGCTTTGCTTTTAGCTGAGGTTGTCAAAAAATTAATTTCCTTTTCTTTAACTTAATAAAAAATGATCTTTAGTTGAAGAAGTTTACATAGTATTCCTGTTTATGTTTCTGTTTACCCTCACCAGAGTGAGATCCTCTAGAGACCTTGTCTTCATACATATATCTGAATAAAAGTCTTGTCATGTAAAAATTTGCCGAACTGAAAAAAGAAAACTCTCTATTAAGATTATGTCTTAGTGTTACTGCAAAATTAAGAGAGAAACTCTTAGATGGGATTGTACTATTAATATATTAGCATGCCTAATGGTTATTTTATTTTTGTTTCCTTTTGTCTGTTCTCATAGCCACTTAGTTGTAAAGAAAATTAGTTTTGTGGTAGAGCATTTTCTCTAAGACAGAAGAAGCCATCTTGGCTACAATGGCAGAACATGCAGACAAATCAGTTTTGATTTCAATAGCACACTCCCCATTCTGCAACTTATTCACATTGTACAACTGCTTGTAAACATATTTAGATTGTTAATCACTAGATCCTCAATACTTCTTCAAAAGTTTGCCATAATTGATTGAGACATTTTCATGGCTTTTCTGAGAATTGAAATTTCAGCACTTTTTTTGAGAAACAGTTAAATCACATATGTTCTAATGAATATTATTATTTTATTTTGTCATATAAGAATGCCATATTAACTAGCTATTCGTTTGAGATGTTTACTTTCAGGTCTGATGTAGTATATGGTGTTGGTAGTGGGTGTACCTAGCATGGCCATTAGCATATGGTTGGAAATCTTTCCTGTCTTCAAATTGTACCCCCCTCATTTTTCATATGATGGTATATTGTTAGTGAATGTTGAACTGATTTTTTTAAACTTAAAGCTTCTGTAACTTTGATTCTTTTTGGACATCAAACTGACTTAGATATGAATGCAATTCTGTATTCTGCTAAATTACCTATGAATCTCTTGAAAGATTGTGATATTTGATGGAAAAATACAGTATGAGCTAATTGTAATTCTTTTAATGGATTTAGGTTATAGAGGAGGACTACACCATTTCATTCCCAAATTAAATGTTTTACTTTTTGCAGAGATGGGGGGACCCTAGATTGTTTTCACTTTCTTTCTTGTGTTTATATTTGTTTACAAATAAGGTGTTTGTTATTTTCAAAATGCTGTATCTTTAATTTTTGTTTGCATTTTGTTTGGAACTGCTGGGACCTGATTCTTTTTCTTGTTTTTCTTTCTCTAAGGGTATGATATAACACATGGTTGGATAATAGTAGAGCAAGAACAAAAAACGCTATTTGACTACAGATATCATTGTGACAGTGATTCTTACTTTATGTCTTGCGGTTCTCTTGGCCTTGAGAAATCAAGAAGTTAACTAAAAACAGAAGAGTATGGATCAGGCACAATTGGAGAACAAATCAGTGTTCACATGCTGCCACTGTTGCTCCCTGGTAGTTTGCTATCTGAATGCTTGGATATGGATTTGTAATAGATCTGTGGTGTGAATATTCCTGTACTCCTCCTCCCATATGCACAGCACCATCATCACCAGATATTAAGCCTAGCCTAGCTGAGTTTAGTGACTTTATACTTCCCTATTGAAATGCTATTACTTCACTATACACTGGATCTTCCCAGTAAAATAATCACTTCAATACAGAATGTAGCATAATGTGTCTGTTAACTAAAAAAAAACTTGGTTATAATAGTTTTACCACAATGTTTCACCATAAAACAGTGTTTATCATATGCACTCAAAACAGTGTTATTATGGCAGCAGTGCACTATATTTGTATTTGTCTTAAGTTTTTTTTTTTTTCTTTTTTGAGACAGAGTCTCGCTCTGTTGCCCTGGCTAGAGTGAGTGCCATGGCGTCAGCCTAGCTCACAGCAACACAAGGGCTTAAGCGATCCTTCTGCCTCAGCCTCCCAACTAGCTGGGACTACAGGCATGTGCCACCATGCCTGGCTAATTTTTTCTATATATATATTTTTAGTTGTCCAGATCATTTCTTTCTATTTTTTGGTGGAGACGGGGTCTCGCTCTTGCTCAGGCTGGTCTCGAACTCCTGACCTTGAGCGATCCACCTGCCTCGGCCTCCCAGAGTGCTAGGATTACAGGCGTGAGCCACTGTGCCCGGCCTGTCTTAAGTTTTAATTGTGGTTTCGTTAAGCTTATGAGTTGTGGCAGAGGACAAGAGAGGTGGCAACATAAGTATCCATTATCTTGATACTTTTCTTTTGAAATTATTGACAGATAAATTCTAGTAGGAGGTGAGATTCTGCCATGGATTCTGCTAATTTAGGGTCTTCCTATAGGTAAACTATGTCACTAAATTATTGGAAATACCTGCAAATTGGTTTTAGTTTAGAACTTTGAAACTAAATTAAATTGATATCAGTTCCATCAATATAATATTGGCATGAAAGCCAGAGATTGCCAAAACCATACATGAAAATTTGGGCCCAAATCCAATACATTTTAACAGTATGTAATGGAGTTTGAAATTTGAGCCAGTTTTTCATTTTCCATTATGTTGATTGGATTTTGGAATATAGCATATTTAAAATAAAGATTTTTACCAATCAATATGTTAAACTGCTAGCTTTATTAGAATAAGAATTAGAATTTTAGGTATTTGGCTTCTTTACTGGTGTGCTCTGGCATGTAGCCAGGTCAGGAACCCTTCGTCAAAGTACCACTAAATTTTGATCATCGTATAAAAACTTTTGCTATAACTGAGGATATAAAATGGACAGTGATATCTGTCAGGTTCTTATTCATTGAGCTGAGACAGTTCTGGATGTGGCACAGAATTAGGTGCGTCCTGATAGTGGAAGTCTTAGTTTAAAGGCAAGCTGGAGCCACAAAAAGTTTGTGTCCTTTGGTATACATGACAACTTTATTTGACTAGCGTATAAGAGTGCATGGTCAGGGCAGCAAAAAATGTCCCAGAACTGAAGTGCAGCCAAGAGAATGATGATGTAACTGAGGAGGCAATTTAATTTTTTTAAATGTGCTGCCCTAAATTCTGCTGCTCAGAAGTGGGACATAAAACAGTAGAAAATCACAACTAAAGAGTTTCAAAATGGTAGGAATTGGTTCAGGATCTTTGAAACTTTTATAATTGTAACAGATTTCATAGCTGTTTTGGAAACAGTGCCCTGTGCTTACTAACAAAAAGTAAACTGTCTTTTGAAAAATATAAAGAGAAAAGAATGTTTTCTTGTTTGCTCACTGAAAGAAAATGTTTTCATTTAGGATTAAAAATTTTTAAATGGGATGAAAAAAAGCTGGATAGTCCCAAATAGCATAAACTGCAGTGTTATTTATCACAAAGTTTGACCATAAATGCCTA